TACAGCAATATTAGACCAAGCCTCACCTACATGCACACCACCTACTGTGTAATAATCGATGTTCATCATCATTATGGACATCCCTGATCCATCCACTGCTGTATGAAGATCTTTCCACGCCATTGCCATTCCTCATCGTCTGGCCACGCCATGACGCATCCGTATGTGTGCGTATTAATTTGTAGGCATCATTTTTACACCACCGGTGCTATTTGCGTCCTATTAAAAGATGAATAATCCATTCAGATTCATCAAATGCAAACAAAAACAATACTCTGATAATTTATGCATTGTCTTTGAAACTGATTGGTCCACACCAGAGACAGCTTTCTCCCATGATGTAGCTGCTCACCCCGAGCTCTCATTACTCTGGTAGTGCGTTGTCTTTGAACTGTGCGCCTTTGGCGTCATCTGGTCGAACACCATATGAGACTAAAGAAAGCCGTCTCTGGTGTGGACCAATACGTTTCAAAGACAATGCATAAATTTATCAAAGTATTGTTTTTTGTTTGCATTTGACTGCAAGTATTGTGGTTAATGTAAGCATGATTCCTTGCAAAAGGTGTCAGTTTTGTTGCCAGAAAAAAGGGGAAAACCCCTATTAGGATCCGCAGACTCACGTAGAGACCAGCAGACTCACGCACTGTGCATATATCCAGCTCGGAACGAGCAGAGCGGTGCAGCAGGCGTGCAGGAGGGCCCTCCTGCTCACCTGCTGCAGCTGCAGCAGGGCGGGTGGCGGTGGGATTCGGCAGATCCGAGTGGAGCTCATCTCACCGAGTCGGTGCATCTGTCTCCTCGGGAGGCCACGGGAGCCCAAAGGCAAAGGAAGCGGGGTGGGTGCCGCTCGTCTGGCCCAGTGGCGAAGTGGGAATTCCTGCAGGTGGCAGCGTGCAACAGCGACTCGTGCACGGACGTTGAACTTCTGACGCGCCGTCTGCAGCCAGACCGTGCTCAGGTGCGAATGTTGAGTGAATGGTTCCGCCGTGCGAGGTGGTGGAGAGAGACGGAACGGTAAGACAGACAGCGAGACAAACAATACAAAGATATCGACACACGCACACAGACATCTTTTTTCTGGGTCCCGAAAGAGTCGTGGGTCCTGTCCGTGGACCACGTGTTCCGTGTGCGTGCAGACAGCGCCGTGAATACGTTTGTCCCCTCTGCAGAATTCAATTAATCTGGCTCACGATGACGAGGGAGATCATTTCTCACGCCTGTGCTATGCATACTATTGATGGGATTACTATCATATGGTTACAAGTTAATGCTTATGGATGCAAATGACATTGTAACCGTAGCTTTAAACACGCGAATTCTAAACGTTAGGGGCCGTCCATAAATGACGTCACGCACCTGGGGGGGGGGGGGGGTCAGACATTTGTGACGATGTGTGACGAGGGGGGGGGGGGGTTGAGAAATGTGACGTCACATCAAAATGCGCAATTTTAAATAAATATGGACAACACGTTCTACTTATTTAAATATACCTTATAATAAATGTTTTCTCCTACAACATCAGAGTGCAGCGCCACATTAAATACGCACTACAATGACAATAGTTTAAAGCGATTTGAACCATGTTTTATTTTGGGGGGGGGGGCAGATCTTTGTGACGTCATATTTGAGGGGGGGTCTGACTTTTTGTGACGCCGGGTGACGAAGGGGGGGGGTCAAAAACCGTCCAAAATCGCGTGACGTCATTTATGGACGGCCCCTTATGACGACTGGCTCCATACTTATACTCGGAGTGGTATAAATTTCACAAATGAATATCCAAACACAGCAATTCATGGTATAAACAAGAACATTGCTCATACAGAAGAGTAGTTTGAATGTCACATGTCAAATTACTATTAATAAGTTGGTGTAACCATTATAATTTCATGGCCGCGTACGTATCAAAGGAATCTGGTGTTCAGCATGACATTTGTAATCTCAATCGATTAAAGTACAGGCGTTTATTTTTACAAATCTAAGTCATTTTGGTTCATGTGTGGTTATAAGTGACGAGCAGATGTGAACAGCAACCACAGTACTGAACTTTATACAACAAAGCGGTTTCCATTACACATGGCCACAGGGGCAGAGCTTATCTCAGTGGCTCAGCCCTGAACCAGCGGTGGAAATTCCCCATTGCTATGGCAGGAACCAATGATTTTACGGACAACCACTGTTGACATGCAGAAGGATGAACAGCTGACACATGATCAGGATATTTGAACCGGCAACATTCTGATTCGGTGCCATTACCTCCATCCACTGTGTCACCTGGCTGGCATCAACACCGCGCACAACACCTGGACAGGTATCGATCGTCTTCTTGGTTCTTTCGGTAAAGTCACGTAGAAGGGAAGTAATAAAATAATAAAAATAAAACATATTTTATTATGTTTAATTTTTATTATTTTATTACTTCCCTTCTACGTGACTTTACCAAAAGAACCAAGAAGATGAATCCCTGCAGTCACGAAAGCTTTAAATCGAAAGGTATCCATCGATTCACGACCGTTCGGTTTCCGAAATTTCGCGTGAACGCGATTGACAGATGACGGGACGGACACCTTTCGATGAACGAAATGGAACTTCCGCGTTCTGGACATTTCACCGCGGCCACGCGCCACGAGCATCGTCAAAGGAGAAGCCACGTGGGGAGGGCTTGCGAGGTTACCCATCAGCCCCAGCGGCGCGATGTTCAGTTGAGTTCATCTATTAGGTATAGCCCTGTGAGCCATTCGGCTCTTGAATCGGGGGCAACCGCAACAAACAAAAACATGAACAAGAAACATCTTCAAGTGAGTACACGCAACAGAAAAATCCAGGAAAAAACAGCAAAGTCTTCCAGAAAAAGCACCATATACTGTATCAACGCTGTGTGCAAAAATCCCAGTGGGATGCAAATCAAACAATAACAACCATAAGACAATTTTGATTAAGGTTATAAGTCTAACTCTGTACTACAACAAACAAATATGGCTAAACCCAAACGTTCTCGAAATCACCAAAATAAAGCTATAAAAAATGTAAGGGTGATCATAGGAACTGTGATTCAAATTTAACAATAAACTATATACATAACATGTACGACCAAACTTTGCAGCCATTGCTGGCAACATGAATCACTCCATAACAGCCGGAGTATCAATAGGAGTATAATTTTTTTAAAATGCACCTTTGAAGATCAGCACACTATAATCAAAACTCAAGATCATACTTTGCAGCGGTCATCCAGAGCGATACATTTGATTTCAGGCCACTGAATAGCAGTAGCAGCAAGGGGTGTACAACTCCTCTCGAGCAGTTTTGAGTGAAGATCTGCAGTGCAGCAGTGAGTGCCAGTCGTGCCAACACGCAGATTTGTTGGTGAGGTCCCTGACCAAAACAAGTGAATTCGTTTTAGTTGTAAATTAGTTATTGTTCAATCGGTTCAACATTTATTTTTTTGGATTGTGAAAAAGGCATAGAGGCGTATATGTTTTAGGTTAGGAGTAGATTTGAAATGGCTGTCCGAAACACCTGTACCTACATTGTTTTGTATGAAATGAATGGGGAAAGGCATTCCGATTTACGAAATTTCGTTCTACGTGTTTATTGAAGAATGCATCCCTTTCGTAAATCGGGGAATACATGTAAATATAGTCACTTACCTGAGAGTACTTTGAGTACTCAGTAGTTGTTTAGATTCAAAGCACCACATTTCGTGAGCATGACGTTCAAATGCTGTTCAGTCAACAAAGGTCACTCACTTTTCCTTTGGGGTGGGTCAAATTAGAACCACTTTGTAAATAAATAAAAATGTTTGTAAATCAGAAGTGGTTTTATAATGCTGAGATTGGTCTCTGCCATGGTAATGTGGAATTATAATCACTTGCTCAAGATGACGACGGATACGAACACTGCCCCAGTGTTTGAGCACAGATACACTCATGATATGTTTTGTCCATTTTACAAATGTATACATTTTACAAATGTATACATTTTTGGCAATGAAGTAACCAGTGTATGGAGATGCCCTCAGACAAAATCGTCGTGGCAGATTAAACATCGATCAAGGTCTTTTACTCGGTCATTAATTAAACGACATTGCAGTTTAATTCTATTAATTTATCAGTATGTTAATTATTGCCGATTTTTAAAGTTATTTGAGGGTTATGATTAAATACATAAATAGAAACATTGAATTACTGTACTGTATTTGTTTTATATCAAATTAGTAAAGCATCCAAACGTGTATGTGCTATGTACATTGAACTTATTTCGCACCGCGCTAATCGGAGGTGCAGGAGGAGCACAACAAACTGAACACAAAAATAAGTTCTAAAAAATTAGTTTTCAATTCAGATTTCAAAGTGCATAGCTCCAATGGCTTCCTAAAATCGGAAGGAAGAGCGTTCCAGACGGCCGCAGAAGCGCATCTGAAAGCGCCGCGCGATGCGGTAAACCCATCTTTGTTCGGTGGAGAGCAACTGCCACTGATGCGAGGATGATCGGAGTTCACGCGATGATGGTTCATGCTCCTTGATCAGCAAGGTGTTGTGGTTCGTTTGCGGCATCTACTTTGTGTGTAATTAGTGCGACCTCATAATGTCTTCGTTCGGCACACCGGAAGGCAATGCAGCTCGGGTGAGCACTGGACGGACACGGTCAGATCTTGCAGTACCCGTCACCACGCGTGCCAGAGAATTTCATCAGCGTGGTGTGGAGTGAACACTCTCGCACAACATTAACGTCATCTCTCTCTCTCTATACCTTCGTTATATCTCTACCCTTGTTGCCTGCAAACACGGCAGACAATCAAACACGCGAACAATCACATCGACATCCCCTGCAATGGACAGCGCACTCTGCATCAATGGGCCCACCACCAGCTACTCATAATGTACCCAAGTTGTACTTGTTATTTTTATTTCAGCCTCGTGTCTAAGTCTACCTGCATAACCGTTCACGCACCGCCCTCTTTTCGAGCCAACTGCTCCGACCCTAATTGTGTGAGCTTGATCATGAACAGCGAGAAGAATAGTACTTTCAGTCCATCTTAAGTTAGGCCACAACAGACATCCAATTCATATCTTCAAAAGAGATATATATAATCCTCGCTTTCTGGGCGGTTTTGAGTCCTCGTTCCAAGCAAGTTATTTGTTCACATGAGCGTGCCAGTTTTTCTCTGGTGCCAGTTTTCACATCGCTATGGCATTTGCACTGCCTGCATAATTCGCAAGCAATAAAGCACTGGGCACAGTTGAATAGACTTGTAAGCAGGCTGCTTGCACAAAGTGCCTTTCCCAACGACGGTTGCAAACCACTCCAAAAAAACACACAACTTATTTGTTTAGCGCCCCTTGAAAGAAATTTCGGCAAAGTGGGTTTCAGAAGCCGGGAGTTTTCACGCCGAGAATTTACTCCGATTCCGGCAGAAGGCAGCACCCATGGCATCGACCGTCCTGTGGCTTCTTTGCAGCTTGGGCATGTGTTTGCTGGCCCGGGCTCAAGGTATGAAAATCGTGTGCAATTAAGACATGTTAATGCCACGTTTTAGTTGTGTGCCGCTCAAATTATTTGATTGTTAAATTAATTCTGCACCGTGCATTCCGCGTTCCCGTGCCGATGCAAATAACTTGCGCGCGCGCGTAGTTTCATTTCTAAATAGAATCGTTTTATTTTCGTTTGCACCAGTGCAGATGCTAAATGCGTATGAATATTAAACACTGGTAGGTGTTTGTTTTTATTGTTGAATATGTGAGATGGAAATAGGGTTGACCAGGTCTGGCTGATATCGAAGGCTTTAAGCAGAGAGATTTTCTCAGAGAGATTTATCATTGCAAAAAAAACATTAAATCATTGTTTAGGTCAAATAAGTGTGCATCCCGAAGAAATTAGTGGATACTCCACATTCCTATGGTGGGAACCATATCACCAGAACAGTTTTTTTTCCCTAAAATATGTCACGCCCCATTGAAATGAGCTGCCCAAACTGTTTGGCTCTTTCCTTTTCGAATATATTTTAAGTAACGTGCATAATTGAATGTTTGCAATGGTGAAATATTGTATTGAAGTAATCTGCTTCCATTATTTTAATCGAAAGAAAAAAACATCGAAATATCTCGATGCCCTTCCAAGCGATGAGTTTTGCTCACCTCCTTTGGTGACGTTGGCCATTGGTGGAACATCCACGTTACGATGGCAGGGCTCTATCTCCTAGCTGCGTGGCCTCACCAGGTGATGCTCGTGTGATGGCAGTGAGTGGAACCTCACCCGGAGTAGAACTCAGGCGGGCATTCACACGAAGCCGGCTGCTATTAGGAGTGAGCACTGCTCGCAAATTATTCTATTTACATTTTAAAGATGTATTTTTGTTTTAGATAACATTGGTATGCCATGAGGAGTCATTTACTGCATTGTAAGATACATTGATCATTTAAACAGCATTTTGAGCGATATGTTAATGAGGGATATATTTGAGTTGATAAACCCTCCAGGAGAATAGAATAAGTCTTGCGTTTTTCTTATTTTATTTACCAGTGGTAGTTATAGAGATAGACTTGTCCCGTCCATAATAATGTGGAATGTCCGTCAACGGCTCAGGGCTACCTACTGAAATGAGCGAAAAGGAGATATTGTTGACTATGACTTGCACTGACTATGACTTGACTATGACTGACATTGACATCCACTCGTGTACGCATCGCACACCCTGATGGTAACAACAGGGACTGGCCTGGGAATTGTCTCATTCTATGGAAGTGGGAATTGCATCGTAGGTTGTTTCCGTATCTCTATAAAAAATTATGTTTTCACAATACGCACTATTATACAAACCAAAGGCATGGACGTAAAAGACCATATTGAATATTCTATACTCGTATTATTATCCCTATAACCAAAAAAAAACCTTTATTACGGATAATATTGTTTGCGAAAGCCTACGTGTTAAACGGAAGCATCACCGAGTCTGCCGATTCCTTTTGAAGAGGGTCCTGCCAAGCGCTGTGTAATAGGAGGAGGCGATGTTGCAATTGTGTAATACCCAACAATTGAGTAATTTGGGGGAAATTCTTCAAATCCTAGCAAATGTGGCCCTTGACGCTGGCACACAATGGCCCAACTCTTGCGACGGACGTCACGTGGTCAGCGAAGTCCACTCCGAAGCAGACGGCGCCAAACGATTAACCGGGGCAGCCGCTGCATTCAAATCGTGAACCTGTGCCGCAGGTGGAGGACGCACCGCTGCTAGGCCTTGCCAGGGCCCGACATTTTGCAAGTAAATGCCACCGTGGGTCTGACACGCCGGGCCGCCTGTGCGCGACTGCCTCTCGCTGTGCAGCGTCTACAGATGCTGCGCTGCCTCTCGTCATATTTACGACACCGCATGATTCCAAATCGTGGACTTGGTTAGAGTTCAAAGTGCAGCTTACCTTTGTCTTGTGACGACCTCATAACCCAGATTGGAGGCTCTTTACTTATTTAAAGAGGGGGGAATTCAACATTTCTCTGGGGTCGATAAAATAAGAACCACTTTGGCGGCAGTCAAGAGTGGTTGTTTCCGGCAGAGACTGGCCCTTGCCATGAGAATGTGGATGTTTTACCACCACTCGCTCAACTCAGGGGTCACCGATGGAGATCACTGCAAGTGCTGAGTTTTTTTTATGGCTCGTGTAGCTGTTACCGACGGCAAAACATCGTCCTGCATTCAAAAGAGATGTCGACTGAGGTGTTTGATGCAATAATAGATTTTAAAAGTGTCTGTGCGCCTATATAATGTAAATAATACATAAATGACGGCAATTCTAAATCCGTCATTGGACGAAGACCTCCCAACACCATCTTGGGTATGGGTTCTTTTTTGTCAACATACTTCACCACGCATGTCGGTGAAGGGGGGCAGGCAGCATCAGTTTTGACATCATTAATGTCTTCTTGGTTCTTTCGGTAAAGTCACGTAGAAGGGAAGTAATAAAATAATAAAAATAAAACATAATAAAACAATTCTCACGACGTTTCGGCCACAACGCAAGCAGCCGTCCTCAGGTGAAAACCAGGTCCGTCGAGGCGACAGAGTCTGAATGAAACAGCACACGAGCTTGGAGCATATATATAAGCTGGGCGCATTGACAAAGGAATTTGCATATCAAAAGGAATTTAGCATATTTATGGGAAATGCAGGAATGTGATTAGTACTGCATATGCATGTGCATTATGCAGGATTAACAGCATCAAAGGAAGCTGCAGTTACTGCTGCAACTGCAGCTTCCTTTGATGCTGTTAATCCTGCATAATGCACATGCATATGCAGTACTAATCACATTCCTGCATTTCCCATAAATATGCTAAATTCCTTTTGATATGCAAATTCCTTTGTCAATGCGCCCAGCTTATATATATGCTCCAAGCTCGTGTGCTGTTTCATTCAGACTCTGTCGCCTCGACGGACCTGGTTTTCACCTGAGGACGGCTGCTTGCGTTGTGGCCGAAACGTCGTGAGAATTGTTTTATTATGTTTTATTTTTATTATTTTATTACTTCCCTTCTACGTGACTTTACCGAAAGAACCAAGAAGATGAATCCCTGCAGTCACGAAAGCTTTAAATCGAAATCATTAATGTCATGAAAGTGGGCCGTAACCGGATATTACAGTCAGGTCGCTGGATTCAGAGGGCGCTAACTACTATGCGACTACACCACCCATGTTTGTATAAGAAAAAATAATCATATTAGCTTTGAGAGATTTAAGTACTGTAACAGCACGTTCCCATTAGCAGCGGAAAACAGGTAGGTAAGCACGCTTAAAACTCTCAGCAGTGGATATGAAAATTAACGAACAGCTCACCAATGTAGAGACAAGACACAGCTGTTGATGTTTAGTGTCATCTCCACAACAGAGATGGAGCAATAAGGCATCCTGACCTCTGCCTACGATTGAAAACACAACATTTATTTTAAAAAATTGTACCGTACTTATTTATTTTGTAACCAAAATAGCACTGATCCACAGCAGTGCCTCGGTTTGAAATGGGCTTCCTAAAGATCGAAAATTCACAACTCCACTGCGAAGCGCCGTCTTAGCGGGCCCCAGAAATGAATGACAGCCCATCATGGATTTAACATTTCCCGGCACGTGCCAAACCTTCATTGGTTTGATGTGGCCAGCCAGGGCCACGGAGAGCAGAAGGGTCCTTCAGAATAAGCTACGCGGGCCTCAAATGATGTCTCAGTACGGGTAGAAGGGGCCTCAGAGGTGGCCTTAGAATGAGAGCCTCATCTGGCATTTTGCCCAGGGCCTCCAAAAACCTGTTGGCATCTCTGTGTCGGGTCCTCCATCTTATATTAGCAAGCAGGGCAGCCATAACCCAACTACAGTATAAGCCAACGCAACCACAGGGTTATTACGCGAGTGTTTCAGAACGTCATGTGGCCATGACTTTTGAACATTGTATTGCTAATTAACGCAGCTTCTGACTTGTGTCAGACAACTTAGGGCACACAGCCTCGCTGTGCCTTGACAAGTAATACTCGTTCAGTGTTACTTTGGTGTAAAGCTTTCGTGACTGCAGGAACTCATACTCTTGGGTCTTTCGGTCAAGTCACGTGTTTGTTTGTTTCTACTTCACACGTGGAGCTCGCTCTCCGTGGAGGCCCTTCCGCCAGCAGTGGCGTGAGAAAGGAATTGCAGGGCTGCGCCTTTATCTTAGAGGAAACAAGCTTGCGCACACGTGTGTGCATTGTGTACATGCAATGCACACACGTGTAAGCATTGTATACATGCAATGCACACACGTGTATGCATTGTGTACATGCAATGCACACACGTGTATGCATTGTATACATGCAATGCACACACGTGTATGCATTGTGTACATGCAATGCACACACGTGTATGCATTGTGTACATGCAATGCTCACACGTGTAAGCATTGTATACATGCAATGCACACACGTGTATGCATTGTGTACATGCAATGCACACACGTGTATGCATTGTGTACATGCAATGCACACACGTGTAAGCATTGTGTACATGCAATGCACACACGTGTATGCATTGTGTACATGCAATGCTTAACAGCAAAGACGGGCAGCACTGTCTCCGTGGAAACAATGCATGCGGTGCACATTCTCGGCTGAGTCAACCCAGGGGGTGCCCACTCGCTCCACGATTGATCATCAATAAGCGCCGACACCGATGACTAGTGATGTATCGCTATGAAGTCAAATGCGTAAATTGATGCAGATACGTATTGTACCAGGATGTGTTCACCAAAGACAAAGATCCCCCGGATAGCCTTAGCAGACTGTTGGGGCAAGTGCTGTTAGCGAGCACCTATGAATGCCGGCACGGCACACGAGGGGGTGGGTGGCCAGCACCACGCCCGACCTCGCCTTTGTCTCCCCAGTGGCGATGACTTTACACACCGCACCAGGTACAGTATTCATTTGAGGCTGAGTCGACCTAGGGGAGGCCCAGGACCGGCCGTGAGCGGGAATCGAACTCGGGT